CGGCGGGACGACACGCTCCCCCTCCCCTCCACGGGCACCCTCCGTTATGCCTCTGCTGCTGTTGCCACTGCTTGCCCTCCCCACCAACCAGACATACGCTTATTTTAAGCGACTCATCTTTCCCCCTCCCCTTCTTTTCCCTGGCATTAAACTTGCAGTTCGGTGAGCTAAGAGAATACCCGGTTCCGACCAGAAAAGACTCCGGTGTGTTGCCTACCGGGCGTACCTTCAAAGCTCTTACCGGCTTCCGACGTGCTGTTGTGCCGGACACTCTCCAGGTTTGGGGTAAGAAAGAAGCCGCAGCTGGAACTAGACAGATAAAAAATGGAAAAAAAAAAAAAAAAGAAATACTTTATTCGTGCCTGCTCTGCTTTATCAGCCCGACTATGGCGTCGGCAACAATTTCAGTGCCGTTTTACCCCTATTTTGTCCAAAATACACGTGTTCCTGGAAGAAGCAACGTCAGATGCTGAAATGCCTATAGTAGGTGTTACCGACAATACCCTCTCCTCCAGTGCCACACCAGTTTATTGAAGGGAATATATTCGGCTTCAATCAACAAAACAAGTGCACTTCTCCCTACTCCGCGGCTGACATATATACGGAAACCACTTGGATGGAATTTAGCAGGTTATTCTTATCATCATCATTAATTTTCTGAAGTAATAACCGGCCCGCGGTTTTAGAATAAAATGTAACTTCCCGAAAAGAAACGGCAAGTTTTGGTTTCTTTTATACAAGTTTCCTCTTCCTACACAGCTAAGCTGTGGATAAAACCAGCTTCGATCCGAAAATTGTGGAGACTGGTAAACCATCTTCGTTTCAGCTGGACTGGGTCAAACTCTGCCAGCACCTGTTCGAAGTTTTCCAGTGCCAGCATTTACTTTTCATTTTTACAATTCACGGGTTTTTTTTTCTTTGGTCTTCTTTCCCCCAGGCACATCTTTAAAAGCAGATGCATATTTAAAATATATCCGAAGCCGTACAAATGCGAGAAATAAAACATGAAAAGTCGCTACCCGTTTAGTTCACATTCAGTACAGCTGCCCCAACCACAGCCTGCATGTCTGAGAGAGAGAACGGGCACTAGAGGAGATGCACATCTGTATGTCTATCTACATACATACGTACGCACACACACAGAGAAGTATAAATATGACTATTTTAGAATCTCAACGAATTATAAATATGACGATTTTGGCAAGTAAATAGTCGTTGAAAGGTTTAAGCTTCTAAGTCTTGTTAATCGAGACTAGTGTTTCTCAAAAGGACGTTGACTGTCTCAGCGTCTGGACCGAACTTGTAGATGAAAGTGGTTGAATGAAACCAAACCCCGACAAGATTTCTACCGCATATTGGGCAGCAGACAAGGTTTTTACACCAATTCTCAATTCCCATTCTGTCTGAAGGAATATTTCGTTGTGTCATGGAGACAACTGCACCCATGTGCCAGGACTGGTTAACTGGAGGAGGTGTTCCCAGGGTATTTGGAACAGCTCTTGGCCAAGAAAACTCCTTCAGTCATCAGGCAATTAACCTGAGACGAACACTGACAAACTCTACGGACCGAGGAGACTTCGGAGCCTGGTTCTTGCTCATTTCGGCTTCATTTGTGCTAAATTATCTGCGGTGCACGTTTCTCTTTCGGGGTTCGTTTTCAAACCCGGACCCCGGCATCAGCAGCGCACGTCTTTCCACCATCTCTCCCACCACTAGAACTTTTTTTGTTTGGTTTCCCGCCCCCACTTCGGAAAAAAAAAAAAAAAAAGGACTAATGCCCAACGAGGCAAAGAGGAAGAGCGACTGTCCTCTGCATGGTTGGGACTACGCGGGACGAAAGGCTCCCGCCCGCCGGAGCGGGGAAAGGTTGAGCATCCCCTCGCCCCGGGGCGCGGCGGTGCCGAGGGGCAGGAGCCGCCGGGCTCGGGGGAAAGGCGGGGGAGAGGCAACTAACCTGCCGGGAAACCTCTCTTCGGACTGGCTTCTTCTCAGGAGGGAGAGGGAAGAGGGGAGACGCCAGGTCTTCCTGCGGGAGCGGCGAGAGGTGCCGGGAGCCGCCGGCAGACGCTGCCGCCCCCCGCTCACCCCCCTACACCGGCAGTTTCACACCCGTCCTCTCCCTCCCCTTCTCTCAAGCGAAATCCAATCTCGCCAGGAAGCTACGAATGTGCATGTCTTTATTTCTCACTCAGGCGAGCTACGACAACATATACGCCTTTTTGGTTGGGTGTTTTGGGTTTTGTTGGGGTGGTAGGTTTTTTTTTGTTGTTGTTGTTGGTTTTTTTTTTTTAAAGATCCCCCTGAAACCGGAGCTTAATTTCCAACACCGGGGACGACGAGAGCCAAACCCCTGCCGAGGCTGGAGGGACGGTGGAGCCCTTCGGGGGAACTGGGGCAGCCGCCCATAATAAAGCAATTAACCGAGAGCGGAGCTGGGAGCTGCCAGCTCCTTCAGGATCCCTCCCAGGGCGAGCTTGAAAGGGTGCCACGGCCGTCGCAGGGAGCCCGCAGCCCGCCGAGCGCCGGGGCAGAGCTTTAAAAATGCCCCACGAAGCGGGTGAGGAGCGCTGGCGGAGCCAGGCGTGGGGAGAAGGCTCAGCCAGGGAGCGCGGATTCATTGCAGCCCAGGCTAGATCAGTGTCTCTCCATTGTCATCCTCCCCTTTAAAAAAAAAAAAAAAAAAAAAAAAAAAAAGGGAGAGAAAAAAGTAGGCGGATTGCAGTGACTGACTGCCCAATGGCAGCCCCGAGTCTCAGGAGAGTTACAGAGAGAGGGGGAGAGAGAGAGAGAGGCACTTTCTGCCATCCAAATCCCTTAAACCATCCTCATTCCAACACGAGAACCCACTGTAACAACTTCCAACCACTGAGACATGACAGGCAGGAGCCCAGAGGCAGCAGCAGCAGCGAGAGCAGCAGCAGCAGCACATACTCTGCACAGGGAGCAGCATTAGCACCAGGGGAATACTAGACACAACAATACAAACAAACAAACAAACAAACAGACAAAGCCCCCCCAAGCCCAAGGGACTGGATTCCAACTCAGATTCAAGCCACAGCTGACACCAAAAAGGGTGGGGAATTACGACCAAGGGGGGGCCAGAAAGGAATAACCAAGGAAGCGAACTCCAAGAGTGTAAACGGGATTCAGCCATGATCCTTTTTTCATCTCGCAGTGTGTTACTCTCAGTGTATTACCCTCAGATTTTCCTCATCCTTACCAGTGGGAGTTACCTGTAAGTGATCCAGATTTTTTT